TGTGTGTGTGTGTGTGTGCGCGTGCCTATGTGTACATTAGTATTTAACCGTTTGCTATCATTGGATATAGCATACTCCATGATTCCGTTTTATCTTATACAATTGTACTTACCTTTATATTTTATATATTGATATAATTTTTTTATTAATAAAGATATAGCATATATTTTCTTGTTATTATTTTATTCATTAATGTCTGGCGTTTCGATTGAAAAAGAATTTTTTATGTTTGTTTTTATGCGATATATTTTTACATAATGTCCAGCTTCTGTGAGAAAACATATAGTGCGACAGCAAAGAACAAAAAATAAAAATAATTTTCAAATAAAAATAAATGCAACACCTTTAACGATCTTGATCTTGACATACAGCTAAACTTGCCAAGAGCTGCACTTATTGTAAATTATATGTTGCATATTATATGTTAACAAAATTGTGACAAGTCAAAATTTGCTATTTTAATTATTATCGGTAAAAATGTATCAAAAAACAAGTAGGTCTTGCGGCGCATCATATAACATGCTAGAAAAAATCTGCAAAAATTCAATAGAAATTGCTGACATTAAAACAATAAAATTTGAGCGTAAAATGTTAATTATATATATAAAATTCTTTCGATGGAAAATATGATGAGATAATGTTATGATTTTGTCTACCATTTCGAAGATAATGATTCTTTTGTCATAAGTTTTAAATAAATATTTAAATATTTTTTCTGGAAAAAATGGGTTTATGAAATAAGTCGAAAATAATATCTTGCCATTCATTTTTATCAATCCAAGCATCTCAGACGATTGTTATGTTTTACTTCGATAGTAAATTTGATTAGCCTTCCATTCCATATAAAGATTTCCAAGATGTCACTTGTGCTTTGATGCTGCTAATAAGATATTATCTACGTATTTAAAATAAAAAGTCTATTGGAAGGGTAACATCCTCATAGCAGTCATTTCTAAATCCTATATCAATCTGCAATAATTGATGAACAAAGGGGAACTCATTGGAGTAAAGAACTGTAAAAAAAATTGTTAAACATAAAATGTGCAAAATTTAATATAATAGTTTGATATAAGTTTAAAAAAAAAACATTAAAATAGCACTTTTTGTAAATTTAACGTAAATTTCTTAAGCTTTACTTGCCCTCGATGGCGAATAAGAAACAAAAAATTTTTTTTCTTATTTGCCATCGTAGTCATTCGTGTTTTATTAAAGAACGCACGGTCTTTACGAGCGTATGACGGCCACGCGCATCCCCGTTCCTAGTCCATAGAAAGTGTGGCTCTCGCTTTGCTTCTTGACGTACGGTTCCTGCAATAACAGGACGTAAAGTTGTTTCTCTTCGACGAGCTGACGCACCTTACGTTACTGCAACCGACTGCCTCATATTCAGCTGCAGTATTCTAACTTCCGTGGTCTCTCAACACCCGAAGAAGTTTGCAGGATTGCGACCGGGTTGGATGCTCCTCTCGAAGACGAAACTTTTATTACACCATAATGACATGGTTTTCAATTGCAATTTTACTTACAAGTTTTAATCATCTAGTATACGATTAAAAAGCGAAATGGTAATAACAATTGATGAAACTTAAAACAATTTAGTAAACAGAATTTAGCTAAACAGCGTAATTATATCGTATATTTTTAGAATGTATGAAATATTAAAACTATTATAATGCCCCTTATATTTCCCATTAGCTATAAAATTATAAAATTTTATCAAATGTAATTTTATGTATAATTTTTTTTATTGATGGTGTCGTAGATACAGTATAAAATTGTATTACAACGTGATTGATAAAAATATGATCAGAATATTAAATGCACACATCGCCAATAACAAGATGTGCAAATAGCCTCGACAATGGCTTTTGACTGCGATATATTCCAATAAATATATTTTTTGAATGTGAATACATATACAAATATATATATATAAAATTCAAATTAGTCTGAGAAAAACTCTTTCAACATGTATACTTGATGCATACATACGAGGCCTGGCAATATATAATATATACAAACCAATTTCTTGCTCTATGCTTATAGTTAACTTGCAATATATCAAAATACTGTCGTACTATATAAATAAATCGACGAACCATCTGTCATGTCGACATGCTTATGGAAAATCATATCTACTTTTTCAATAATTAATATTAATACAATAATAAGTCCATTTTTTCAGAGCTATTCGGTAAGAAAGTATGCTCATTTCGCGATGCAGATCGCCGCAATCGCCTCTTAAATAATATTAAAATAAAACATATATAGAAAGTATTCTAACGATACTCCCAATTCGAAAATAATATAGATTTGCCGGTTGTACGGTTTTACAATTATAGTAATATATTCGAAAATGAAGCGAAAAAAGAACAGAATAACACGAGCACTTGCATGAAGTTTCGATGGAATGCAATCGCCTTAGTATCGCTAAACATTCAAAGAGTACAATAAGTCACTAGTAATATTTTTGCACATATTATCTAGCCACAATGTAATTGTAATCAAGTTATACGAGGATACGCGTTATGCACCGGAGTGTATACGCACATTCTTACTTGGTCGAGATAACGTGCACATGCGTTTACATACGTGATCCCCACGTGCGAAGAGTCGCGGGACCATGTAAGTAGAAACGGTTTAAATATCTCAAATATCCATAAAATTATACACATTATACTCTGAAGTTTGTTTCTTTATAAAATACAACGTTTGTTATATGAATTACTATTACATTTTCGTTGCTAAATATTCTTTGAAGATTCAAATGTCTTTCATGTAAGATGAATTATGTTATAGGAAATGAAGATATACTATAGCAATACATTCAGAACCCCCAGGTATTCTTGATCATTTCCGATCAGTCAAAATACGTAAGTTGCATACGTGTATGTTTGCCACAAATGTCATTGTTCTATTTGCATGGATAATGCTAAGGTAATAGAAATTAGTTAATTATGCAAAATATGACCTATCTATAAAATAAAATAATACATACAAATTTCTTGAGTAATGCTACTTTATCACATATTAGTGAAAATAAATTACTTAATAACATATTGAATAATAATCATAAGTCGTAAAAAATGATCAATAGAAGAATATCAAAATCATTGTCATTTCTGGGACACGAGTCGCGTTCACGGAAGAGACACGCAAGAAAGCTGCATCAATCGCGCGGATGGCTTGCGAACGTGATTTATTATCTTTTACACGCGCGAAGTTCGAATATTATATAGTAGAATCTTTATTATTTGAATCGATATGTGATATAAAAAGTACTAAATTTGGCAGCCTTAATCTGAAGGATATAGAGGACTTCTCCATGAAGATTCCTTAAATGAATAGATATACTGCTCATTATATAACATTTCAGTCTGCAGTTCTCTCGCCGTGGTAGAAAAGATCGCCGTCTTCTCTAAATTATAAGTATGTAAAAAAATATTGGTAATAAAATATATTTTCGTAGAAAAAAAAAACTGCTAGTGAGGGGAGCAATTCCGTCCGATAAGATATTGCTTCCACAAACGCGATACAATGCACATGTCCCACTATGTTGTTCTTCAGAGAGACAAATCTTCCCGATCTAAGAATACTTTCCGTAGCAAAAGAGTATGGTCCGTCATGTGTGTAAGGATACGAATTCGTTCTCGTCGAGGTAATGAACTAATAATCTACTAACGGTTTACATCTTGAGACTTTTTTATGCTATCTTACGATCTATAATATGAGCTGAATACGAAAAGGCGTTTGAAGTATAAGATATTTTTTACGCGATTACATGTAAAAAGCCAAAAATTCTTAATTGTATCGATTGATGTCCTGCGCTTGAATTTGAGAAATTTTCATTCAAATGCGATTTGAAAAATTCCTAGAAGGCTGCCGAAGATCATTGCTCCTTTTATCATATTTTCACACCCATTTGCTCACGTCTTACAAGAATATATAATCGTATAATGTACGTCGTTAACTCTCTCTTCTAAGCTACTCTTGCGTCCCCCTACGTTTTCCTGTCGGTACATTTTACTGCCCTCATGCAATATATTACAGTTTGATTCATATTTATACACATAAAAGTCTGCGTGCTTTGTGGTCGCACGTTTGTTTCGGATACAAAGAATATTCGTTTCTCGTTGCTATACGGCTTATAAAATATCGTTATACTTCAGCTTCTTTGAGAACGAATTCGACGTTGGTGCACGGATATCTACATAAATTTCTTTTTTTTAATCGCTATTTTATATTTTGGCTTTTACATTAATTAATTGTCATGATTTGACAGGTACTACTATACGTCGCAAGGGCTCACAAAGGCATGATCTTTGCTCGTTAATCCGCGTAATCTCATTGAATCCGCTTGTCATATCGATCTACTTAAGTAGTCAAAGTACATATCTGTGTCATGAAAATCAATATCCGTGAAAATTCAACGGACAACGCGCGCTATACTCAAGGTGCAAATTTCTAGATCCTAGTAGCAGAGACTTGCACGGCGACAAGAGCTTTTTAATCGACTCGACCGTACATAGGTACAATGTTTTTGCTTATCCAGAAATCGCAATTTGAATAGCTCTGCGCGAGCAGCGTGTCCTGACCGACAACCAAGATTCGCTTCGCACCCGATCGATCGGCCTGCGCGACCTCGCCATGCCACACGTAATGATTGAACAGCTGCTGCATAGCTGACACGTGTCTCTTTTCCTCGGGCGTTACAGCAGCGTAGGTCCCCAGAATGGCCGCGGCATCGCTGTCAGGATCGGCTAAGTGCTGTCGGCGTGGCTGGGTAGCTACATAAAACGGTATGTTGGTTTTCATCGTAGCGAGCGTCAATAGCGGGCACACTACACGGATGTCGGAGATCATTGTGGCCAGTCCCTTCAATGTAGCATTGTAGCGTCTAGAAAATAGTTGAGCGCAATGCGTAATGTTTATTTATTAATTACGGTACGAGACTTAAAAATAATCTGAATTACATCACGTCGATTATTAATCAAAGTAATATTCGATAGCTCACCCCAGAGCTTCATCTACAAGGCCCAAAGTCCCGAGCAAGGATTCTCGTACGGTTTTCTCGACTTGTGTCGCGTTGAGAGTGATGTTCGGTGATAGATATTGTACCGGAGTGCCGGAGTGCGCGGTGGTGCCCATCACTACCTTTACTGGTAGTGTAATATTCTCCTGCGATAGGATCGTACCGACGTGCTCCAGAAGAATCGTTCCGTCCTGAACAAGCCACTCGTGTCTGTTGTTCTTGAAATTTTTTTCGCCTTCTCTCATTTCCGGCAGAACCACATTTTCCTTGTACCACGACAGCGGCACGGAGTCCATGAGCTCCTCGGCGCTCTTGCTTTTCAGGCAGGCGGCGTCGCTGCAATGGACTGCATTAAGGAATTGTGCGTTTATTTTCTCAGACTGGTATAGCTCTCTGCCTGGGAAGATCGCGCTACCGCTGGATATCCACGCTCTCGAGAAAAGACTCTTGGCTCGACGATAACCGATCAACGCTGTCACAAGAGTACCGCCCGCTCGATGTCCCCATAGAGTAACGGATGATTTATTGCCGCCGAAGTTCTCGATGTTCAACTGTACCCACTGAAGAACCGCTATAATGTCTGACAATCCGTAGTTGCCTGATGTTGGAGGATGAGTCGCTCTGGTGAGAGGCTCAGCCGCCAAAAATCCAAAAATTCCCATTCTGGATGTAATAAATATCTCAATTATGCATATATTTCCATTATACATGTATTTTTAATTATAAGTATTTTTAAACTTAGATTATTACTTCTGGGAGAGTAAAGCAAAACCTTTCAGAGTTAAAGTAATATTGATTTCTTCACTTTGTTGGAGAGGAGACAAAGTCTTAACTCTGTTGAGGTGGCAATTGTAATCGCTAAATTAGTTTGATCGATTGGGAAAGTAAAACATCTAACATGTTTGAAAAAAAAAAGATGAAAAATATTAATATTTGCCTGAGACATGAACAGATAAATGTGCTCGGAGTCTTCCAGACTCACGTCAGTAACGAATGTAAAATTAAACGTAAAATACGTTTAAAATCTTGATAAATACGTCTAACAGTAGAGAAAACATTTTGAAAAGACAGGAATATATTTAAATAGTAATTTTAATGTATCTACCGAAAGTTTGGCCGCACAAATACGATATCGCGAACGCGTGCTAGTTTGGCTGAAGGTTGCATCACTCCAGGTGAGCCGCCACTCAGGGTCTCCGCGCCGATCATAACGACAACAGGTAACGGGGAATCGTATCCAACCATTGGTGTAAACACATCGAGATAGAGGCAATCTTCGACGCCGTCTATGTGTTTAGATATCTGATGCTGCCAGCAGTTTTCGGAGGAGTTGTGCGCCAAGTAAGTACCGTTCCAGCAGTGCTCGATTCGGCTTAGAGATTCAGCCGGTTGCCAGCGACGATTATCGACCGGCGGCATCGCGTACGGAATGCCACGGAACGCGTAGGCGCCATCCTCCAGAATACCTTGCACTGGTCCGCACGACGTTGGTGCCTCGATGTACTTGCCGTTCTTCAGGGGCAGGTTAGGAATCTTCCTAGGTCCGGCGCAAGCAATGCAGATGATAACGATGATGCTGAGCAGGATCAGTAAGGTCACCACTGTCGGCCGATTTAAGAATATCAATTTCACATACTACAATTGATGTATGAATAAATATATAAATTAATTAAATTAAATAATATACATGAGACAAATTCTGTATCTTTATACCTGAGACGACCACGTGTCTTCTGAGCGTGGCTATACAGATTACCAAGGGATGCTTTGGTGGCTCGACACGATCAGGCCCATCCTCTCCATCGAGTCGCACTGTTTCCATGCCGTCCTCGTTGGTAATAGGACTCTTCTCAGTAGTGCCATCGTCGAGTGTCTCGATGCTCGCTAATCCAGCGGCGCCAGTCTGTCCCAACTCGGCATCGACTTCCTAGGATAGGAAAGGATTACAGCAAATTAGAGAAGTAGATTAAATAAGTTATGATAATTTGTAATATCGAAATTAATCTTTAAACCACTGTATCGGTCTCACAAACCGCTATTGAAACGTTATTTGTCAACAATTTTCTTATTTTTCACCATTTAAATATTTTATTTCTATTGTATATGAGATTTTTTTGTTAACCCTCACATTAAAACATAGTTTTTTCCCCATCAACAAGTTTTCAGAAAACATACATTTTTATTATAATTAACTTATAAAATTAGCGGAAGCATAATAGCGGTCTGTCAGACCGACTTTGGCCTAGTTTACACCGAGCACTTGGTACGCGTATTAACTAGAAACTTTCTATTAATTATCTTAATTTCTACAATGCATTTAAAGAATGATGTACATAAGGTAATCCACTATGCATTAATATGATTAATTAAATACATATATCATGTATAAATTTATATGCATCGTCGAAATTAAGAAAATTTAATAGAAAGTTACTAGTTAGTACGCGTATTAAATGCTCGGTGTAAACTAGGCCATTGTGGTTAGTGTGATTTTTTTGGGCGTGATGGTTTAAAGGTTAAGCTTCTCTATTTATTTAATTAATTTATTTAATTAAATTATTTATTTAATTAAATATATTAAATACATCCAACACATATAAGAGATTTAGATAATAATTATACTGGATTTATAATACTTTCATTAAATACTTTCGATTCCGAATAGAAATAAACTATTCAGACAAGAAGTTGATTTTTTAAATAAAACGTGATATTTTTTATTGCAGAATTGGGTTCTACGTGAAACAATATGAAATTTTTATATCAAATATTTTTTTGAAAAATATCAACTCTTTAAAATAATCTTTGAAATGAGTAATCCATTTCCGTTCGGAATAGGAAGTTCAAAATATCACCATTTGCTAGAGCGTATTCAATTTACTTATCAAAGATAAAAACCACTTCTCTAGTTTTTAAATTTATTACAAAAAAATATTACCTCAGTCGGGAATCGAATTGCGGCGTACAGTTTGTATGTGGTTGGATATTGTAACAATAAAAATTATTACACACCTGTGTTGGTTCGCATAGGTATCACTTCTCTGTATTTATTCTTACAAGCCTAATTCCTTCAATTTAAATTTATTTGAATATACGCTGCTTGAAAGACACGTTCATTGTTTATAACAAAGAATTGGTTATTACGAAAAATATCATTACATGCCTCGGTGGCCGAATGGTAGGACGTCTGTCCGGCAAGTAAGGAAATCCGGGTTTGATTCCTAGTTGAGGTGATATTTTTTGCAATACATTTTTTTACAGGTTAAGAGGGGGGGGGGGGATTCTTATATACGTAGATGCATATTAGCATCAAAAGATATTAAATTGCTTAAATTTGTTATAAGTGGATTCTGGCTTCATGTAAGAACTGTTTCAAGACCAACAAAAATTGCGGCGCGCAATTTGTATGTGATTGAATATTGTAACATGTATATTGAACATTGTATTGAATATTGAACATTGTAAATAAAAATTATTACACACATCAACACCCGTGTCGGCTCACATAGGCATTACTTCACTATATTTGATATAATTATGTATATATTATACGTACATACGTATGTATATATATATATATACTGTATATACATCTAGATTGAACATAGAAAATATTCAATAAAAAAACATTATAATATTTACTTATATGAAAAAAATATTATTATAATATATTCTATGATTAAAACTAAATACGACATATATGTAGTATGTACACTATATCGAAGATGAAAGACGCAAAACGATTGAATAAAAAGGAATCGATATTTGAACAAGTATAATTTACATCGGATAAAAATATCTTATGAAAGCATATCTCGGTGCGTTCTATACGCAAGTATCATATGCATCCTTTTTTATAATGGGACGTATTTATTCCCAGAAATTCTATCTACGAGATATCTTCATAATATGGAGTTACGAGTATATTAACTACATCATACACAAGCGAGATGTTATTGTCAATATACTTGATTACATGTTCGAGATTTATACATAATCTAAAGCAGGATTCATAAGACGATCAGTTCAAGGGTAGGTACAATTTACAAAAAAAGTGACAAAGCTCTCTACAAAGAAATTAGTTCAAAGAAATAATAGATTCAGTATTAATCTATTATTAGTGTGAATCTAATATTATTCTATCATATCTATCTATTATATATTATAATATTTGAGTGTAATTTAGTTTTGAGAGTTTTTTCTCAAAAACTGACTTATTATATGAATATCTTAATAACTTTATTCAAAATATTTTCTTTCGTTTTTTATAACTTTTTCTGACGAGAGATAAATTCCGCGATAAAAAGATTCTTTGGATTTGATCCAGGTAAATATACCGATGAAGGGAGGCTGCTCCAATGATCTTGCCCTTTATATATGTTGTCAAGGGCATGACCCCAAGTAACCTTCAGGTGGTTTTAGCCGTCGCTCGTTATTCGTTAAAAAGTTATTAACGAAAAAAGTAACAAAAAAAATAATACCAATGGGGGGGTTGGGGGGACGTTGGGGAAAGTATATTAAATTAAATATCTATTAAATCTTTGCCTTACTAAATAGATGAGTCTACAA